AGAGAGACGAGAACGATGAGTGAGAGAGAGCGAGAGAGAACGAGAGAGTGAGAGAGAGAGAGAGTGAACGAGAGTGAGAGAGCGAGAGAGAGAGTAGAGGCTGAGAGATGAGAGCGAGAGCTGGGACGTACCGAGAGAGAGAGAGGAGAGAGGAGAGACGTGAGAGAGAGTGAGAGAGAGAACGAGAGAGAGAAGAGAGAGGAGGAGAACGAGAGAGAGAGAGTTGAGAGGAACGACGAGAGATGAGAGACGAGAACGAGAGAGAGAGAGAGATAAAGAGAGAGAGAGGAGAGAGAAACGAGAGAGCAGTGAGAGAGAACGAGAGAGAGGAGGATGATACGAGACGAGAAGAGAGAGAGAGAGAACGAGAGAGAGAGCGATAAAGAGAAACGATGAGACGAGAGAGTGAGAGGAAGAACTTGAGACTGACGAGAGAGGAGAGAGAGAAGAGAGGAGAGAGAGAAGAGAGAACGACCTGGAGAGAGAGAGAGAGAGAGAGAACGAGAGAGAGGAGAGAGAGAGAGAGAAACGAGAGAGAGCGAGAGAGAGAGAACGATGAGAGAGAGAGAGAGACCTTAGAGAACGAGAGAGAGAGACGAGAGGCAGACACGAGAGAGAGAGAGAGAGAGGAAACGAGAAGAGAGAACGAGAGGAGAGAGAGACGAGAATGCGGACGAGAGAGAGAGCGAAGAACGAGAGAGAGAGAGAGAACGACGAGAGAAGAGAGAGGAGGAACGATGAGAGACGAGGAGAGAACGAGAGAGAGGAGACGAGAGAACGAGAGAGGAGAGAGGAACGAGAGAGAGAGAGAGGGAACGAGAGAGAGAGATAGAGAACGAGGAGGGAGAGAGGAACGAGAGAGAGAGAAGAGAACGAGAGAGAGAGAGAGAGAGAGAGAAGAGAGAGAGAAGAGAACTGAGGAGAGAGAGAGGAGAGAGAAAGAGAGAGAGAGAGAGAGAGAACGAGAAGAGAGAGAAGGGAAGAGAGAGAGAGAGAGGGGAAAACCCGAGAGAGAGAGAGAGAGAACGAGAGAGAGGAGGAAAAACGAGAGAGAGAAGAGAGAACGAGAGAGAGAAGGGGAAAGAGAAGAGAGAGAGAGAGAGAGGAAAGAGGAGAGAGAACGAGAGAGAGGGGAGAGAGAAGAGAACGGAGAGAGAGAGTGAGAGAGGAAAACGAGAGAGAGAGAGAGAGAACGAGAAGGAGAGAGAGAGAGAACGAGAAGAGGGGAGAGAGAGAGAAAAAGAGAGAGAGAGAGAGAGAACGGCGAGAGAGAGAGAGAGAGAGAACGAGAGAAAAGAGGAGAGAGAGAACGAGAGAGAGGAGAGAGAACGGAGAGAGAGAGAGGGGAGAACGAGAGAGAGAGAGAGAGAACGAGAGAGAGAGGGGAAAAGCAGGGGACGAGAGAGAGGAAGAGAGAACGAGGAGAGAGAGAGAAAAGGAGGAGGAAGAGAGAGAGAGGAGAGAGAGAAGAAAAGAGAGAGAGGAGAAACGAGAGAGAGAGAGAGAGAGAGAGAGAGAGAGAGAGAACGAGAGAGAGAGAAAAGAACGAGAGAGAGAGAGAGAGAGGAGAACGAGAGAGAGAGAGAGAGAACGAAAAGAGAGAGAGATGAGAACGGGGAGAGAGAGAGAGAGAACGAGAGAGAGAGAGAGAGAAGAGAGAAGAGAAAAGAGAGAAGAGAGAGAGAGAGAACAGAGAGAGAGAGAGAAGAGAGAGAGAACGAGAGAGAGAGAGAGAACGAGAGAGAGAAGAGAGAGAGAGAGAGAGACGAGAGAGAGAGAGAGACGAGGAGAGGATGAACGAAGAGAGAGAGAGAGAGAGGAGAGAGAACCGAGAGAGAGAGACGAGAGAGGAGACGAGAGAGAGAGAGAGAGAGAGAACGAGAGGAGAACGAGAGAGAGAGAGAGAGAGTACGAGAGAGAGAGGGGAGAGAACGAGAGAGAGGAGAGAGAGAGAGAGATGAGAGAACGAGAGGAGAGAGAACGAGAGAAGAGAGAGAGAGAGAGAGAAGAGAGAACGAGAGAGAGAGAGAGAAGAGAGGAACGAGAGAGAAGAGGAGAGAACGAGAGAGAGGAGAGAACGAGAGAGAGAGAGAGAACGAGAGAGAGAGAGAGAACGAGAGAGAGAGAGAGAACGAGAGAGAACGAGAGAGAACGAGAGAGAGAGAACGAGAGAGAACGAGAGAGAACGAGAGAGAACGAGAACATAAGAAAGGAGGAGCACTGTGCTCTCCGGTATGAAGATAAACTTGGAGCCTTGAATCTCCACTCTGGAGAGATGTAAAATGAGGGGAGATATCATTGAGGTGTACAAGTGGATGACTGGGATAAACAAAGGTGATTATTAATAAAGTACTGAGGGTGTCAAACCAGGTAAGAACCAGAAATAATGGATTTAAGTTAGATAAATTTCTGCGTAGAAAGAACATAGGTAAGTACTGTACTGGTTTTCAAATGGTTGTGGATGTGTGGAACAGTCTTCTGAGTAGGGTGATCGAGGCTAGGACCTTGGGCAGCTTTAAAGAGAGATTGGACAAATATGAGTGGGAGGGGCTGGGTTTGATTGGTATCGTGGGTACGGGAGTAAATTCTTGGGTAATTTAGGGTAGGGGTGGTTTTGATAAGGACCTGCCTTGTATGGGCCAGTAAGCCTTCTGCAATGTTCCTCCATTCTTATGTTCTTGTATGAGAATTTTTATTTAAGAAACGTTTTGCCACAGTGACTTCATCAGTCCAATACAAAGCAGGAAGACATAAGGAGAAGAGTTTGAGGCCTGGAATCGATGTGTTCAGTCCCTCGCTCAGAGTATTTGCCATATGGTAAAAATAACAAAATCTGGTGTTTTATGACTATCCTGCAAAATCCGCATCCATGAGGATGTCAAGATGCGACATCTGCAATCCACATGCGCATTTTACTGTAAGCAGATATCCACATTTGTATCCGCATCCACAATCTGCATACGCATCCGCATCCGCGGATATCTAAATTTTCACATCTGATACATCCCTATTACGTATGCAGGTTCAAACTTGGAGGTCAGGTACCACTTTAAACAACTGCTAGTTCACTCAATTTGAGGCCTATTGTAGGCCAATTCCAGTGCTCAAATGTCCTAATTCCTGGCTATTTTGCCAGTATGTCTTCCGAACTATTGATTGTCCTCAAACTACCCCTTCAACCATCAGAACTACCCTATTAAGTGCCCAGAAGGTAGTAATTTAACCAATTTTGCTTTTCATTGATGTTCCCTTTGTTCATTAATCTCATCCCCATTCTTCCTATATAGCACTTGCCCACCATTTTGCATCCATCATTATTACACAAAAGTTAAGAGGTTTTAACCCCATTTGTGCTAATAAAGCAAAATCAAGAATGCTAGGTTGTAATTGTCGCAGACCTAGTAAAACCCATAAGTGATGGGGAGGGGGGGAGTAATTTCCCTTCCCTTTAGGAAAATTGCCCAAAATCAACCTATCCACCATTTCTTAAGGCCTATTTCAAGCCACTTCTGAACTGAAACAGACCAAAATCTTCTCCAGTGTGTCAATAAAGCCAAGAAAAATCCCATTGAAAATGTCCCAAGTCTGTTTTAACCTAAACACAAGGTTAGAGTAGACGTTCCCATCATGCATTGCAGGGGCAGGATTTTTTTTTTATATATGTACTGCGCTTAGACCCATTCTCTCATGTTGAAGCCAAAATTTGCCTCTTAGTCAATTTGAGGTGGTTATGAATTTGTTTACTACACTGAGACTGATACCACTGACATAAATCTGTTTGACACAGTGAAAGGGTCAATTTTGGTGGTAGTTCATATTTTGTGAGACACACATGCAATAGTTAGGTATCTTTATTTCGAAACGTTTCGCCTACACAGTAGGCTTCTTCAGTCGAGTACAGAAAAGTTGATAGAAGCAGAAGATACTTGAAGACGATGTAATCAGTCCATCACCCTTAAAGTTTTGAGGTGGTCAGTCCCTCAGTCTGGAGAAGAGCATTGTTCCATAGTATGAAACAATCTGTACTCGACTGAAGAAGCCTACTGTGTAGGCGAAACATTTCGAAATAAAGATACCTAACTGTTGCATATGTGTCTTACCTAACAACCTGTCGGTATTTTATACCATTTTAATGTTCAGTTCATATTTTGAATGTGTGTATATCCAGGTTTTTTTTTTTTTGGGTAAAAATGTTGCATTTCAGTGGAGCATTTGATGTGCAACTTTATTTTTGTAAAAAAAAAAAAAAAAAAAAAAAAAAAAAGACTGGGTGAGGGTCATAGTGTGCCTTACTCCACTGTGCCTTAATGGAGAATTGGCAGATGTTGAAAAAACATGTGTGTCTTTTACCAGGTGTGTACCATATTAGAATTTATATTTCAGGGTCCCAAAGTTTCAAATGGCTCACTTACTGGGTAGTGGGTGTTTCCTAAAGCTGGGGTATATACATAGTTTCAATAACTACCTTGTCATAATTTGTTTTTGATCTTGTGCACATGTACTGATATGTAGGTAGGCAAGTAATTAGGATGAGCAGTGTAGGTTAGGGACTAAAAGTTAATCATGGAAAGTACATTATATTGGACAGTAATGATGAATTTTAACTTAATGTAAGCACAGAAATGTACCTTTTTAAAATTTACTTTGTATGTCTCGATATTTTTCGTTGGCATTGTAAAGTACCGTTAGTAGTCATGAAAGTGAATTTTTTTTTTTTAGTTCACTGACTGGTTAGAGAGCAGTGTTGTCAGCAAATAGTTTTGTTTTGAAAAGTTTGGCATCATTTGGTAGGTTCCTGACTTAACAGGAGGAATAAGAGGATCTAGAATGCTGAAGATTACTTATTGCTAATGGTGAAACTTGCTACTGATTGAACTTGATTCAGTGAAGTACCATTTATAAGATTCATTGTTTGAATAAATTGTGTAAATTAATAAATATATAAAGTTAATGGTATAGTAAATTGCTTTTGATTAAATTTAATGTCATTTTGTTTGCAGGCATATTGCCAATCTTGCTAACTATGCAGATGTGATCCTGCCTGTGCCAGCCTTCAATGTGATCAATGGTGGTTCTCATGCTGGCAACAAACTAGCCATGCAAGAGTTCATGATCCTTCCCACTGGAGCAGGAAGTTTCACAGAGGCTATGCGAATGGGCAGTGAAGTTTATCATCACTTGAAGGCAGTCATCAAGTCTCGCTTTGGTCTCGATGCCACAGCTGTCGGAGATGAGGGTGGTTTTGCCCCTAACATTCTTAATAATAAGGATGCCCTCAATCTTATCCAAGAAGCCATCAAAAAGGCTGGTTATGAAGGAAAGATTGAAATAGGTATGGATGTGGCTGCATCTGAATTCTACAAACAAAATAATATCTATGACCTGGACTTCAAGACAAGCAACAACGATGGATCTCAGCAGGTTTCTGGTGACCAGCTGAGGAATCTCTACATGGAATTCTGCAAAGAGTTTCCTATCGTCTCCATTGAGGACCCCTTCGATCAGGTACGACATAGATATGGACTGCTTTTGGCCTTTAACTTTTGTAGATTGCTCCCTCTAAATTTCTCATGTATTTTCTGTAGCATATTAAGATTCTTTTGGTAAGGATGTATCAGCCAGGGAGGTATAACATTTTTTAGGAGTGAAGAAGAACAGGATGTGAGTGTGGGAGAGGCGTGTGAGGCATTGTAGAATGAAAGTGGGTAAAGCAGCTGGAACTGATGGAATCATGACAGAAATGTTAAAAACGGGGAGATATAGCGAGTGGTTGGTATTTTTGTTTAGTAAATGTTTGAAAGAGAAGGTACCTAGGGATTGTCAGAGAGCATATATAATTCCTTCATATACAGTTAAGGGGGACAAAAGAGATAGTAAAAGTTATAGGGGAATAAGTTTACTGAATAGTTTTAAAAATGCAATATTCGAATATGGGGCAGAAGTTTGTGGTTATAGGAGGGTGGGTGCAGGAGGAAAGAGGAGCAATTGGTGGAATGATAAGTAAAGGGTGTGATAAGAGAAAAAGGTAGCTTATGAGAGGTTTTTACAAAGCAGAAGTGTTGTAAGAAGAGTAGAGTATATGGAGAGTAAAAGAAAGGTGAAGAGAGTGGTGAGAGAGTGCAAAAGGAGAGCAGATGATAGAGTGGGAGAGGCACTGTCAAGAAATTTTAATGAAAATAAGAAAAAATTTGGAGCGAGTTAAACAAGTTAAGAAAGCCTAGGGAACGAATGGATTTGTCAGTTAAAAACAGAGTAGGGGAGTATTAGATGGGGAGATGGAGGTATTGGGTAGATGGTGAGAATATTTTGAGGAACTTTTAAATGTTGACGAAGAAAGGGAGGCGGTAATTTCATGCACTGGCCAGGGAGGTATACCATCTTTTAGGAGTGAAGAAGAGCAGGATGCGAGTGGGGGGGAGGTGCGTGAGGCATTACGTAGAATGAAAGGGGGTAAAGCAGCTGGAACTGATGGGATCATGACAAAAGTTAAAGGCAGGGGGGGATAGTGTTGGAGTGGTAGGTATTTTTGTTTAATAAATGTATGAAACCTAGGTAGTAGGTTGGTAAACAGCAACCGCCCAGGGAGGTACTACCGTCCTGCAAAGTGAGTGTACAACGAAAGCCTGTAATTGTTTTACACAATGGTAGGATTGCTGGTGTCTTTTGTGTCTCATAAGCATGCAAGATTTCAGGTACATCTTGCTACTACTACTAGCACTTAGGTCACTCTACACATACAAGCATATATATACACACACCCCTCGGGGTTTTCTTCTATTTTCTTTGTAGTTCTCGTTTTTGTTTATTTCCTCTTACCTCCATGGAGAAGTGGAACAGAATTCTTCCTCCGTAAGCAAGGGGCTAATAACCCCTTCTGTATAAATTACTAAATTTAAAAAGAGAAACTTTTGTTTTTCTTTTTGGGCCACCCTGTCTCGGTGGGATACAGCCGGTTTGTTGAAAGAAAGAAAAGATATGATAGTGGATAGGGGAGCAATGTGGCAGATGTTGCAAGTATATGGAATAGGTGGTAAGTTACTAAATGCTGTAAAGAGTTTTTGAGGATAGTGAGGCTCAGGTTAGGGTGTGTTGAAGAGAGGGAGAATACTTCCCGGTAAAAGTAGGTCTTAGACAGGGATGTGTAATGTCACCATGGTTGTTTAATATATTTATAGATGGGGTTGTAAAAGAAGTAAATGCTAGGGTGTTCGGGAGAGGGGTGGGATTAAATTATGGGGAATCAAATACAAAATGGGGAATTGACAGTTACTTTTTGCTGCTGATACTGTGCTTATGGGAGATTCTAAAGAAAAATTGCAGTGGTTAGTGGACGAGTTTGGGAGTGTGTAAAGGTAGAAAGTTGAAAGTGAACATAGAAAAGAGTAAGGTGATGAGGGTATCAAATGATTTAGATAAAGAAAAATTGGATATCAAATTGGAGAGGAGGAGTATGGAAGAAGTGAATGTTTTCAGATACTTGGGAGTTGACGTGTCAGCAGATGGATTTATGAAGGATGAGGTTAATCATAGAATTGATGAAGAGAGAAGGTGAGTGGTGCATTGAGGTATATGAGGAGACAAAAAACTATCTATGGAGGTAAAGAAGGGAATGTATGAAAGTATAGTGGTACCAGCACTCTTATATGGGTGTGAAGCTTGGGTTGTAAATGCTCAAGTGAGATGATGTTTAAAGTAAAAGGACACAAGTGCAACTAATGTGACATTTATTGTGGCAACGTTTCGCTCTCCAGGAGCTTTATCAAGCCATTACAAACAATACATGGACACAGAGGGTATATAAAGGCTCAGAGTGAGGTGAATACTAGTGAGGTACCATTTCGATGTTCACTAGTGGTGGTAGTAGTAGTAGTGGTAGTGACAAAAGTAATACAATATGGTAGAGCAATTAATTCAAGTAAAAGGATATAAAAGCTATTACTTGGGTAACATAAAAATAGGTTGGACAAATATAGACTGGAATGAGGCAGCTTGTTTCAGTGTTCACTCTGTGCTTTGTGTAGTATAACAGGAGAGACTATGTGATGGCAGGGTTTACTGTTTTCAGGAGGATTCTTGCTAAGACTTCGGAGATGGTGAAGCTGCCGTTGTTTTGTTTAATTGTATTCGAAACAGCGATCAGTGCTGATTCAAGGCACTTGCGTGTGCAGAAATTAGTTTCTTTTATCACTAATTGGGCGTCTCTGAATTTCATAAGATGATTGGTGGAATTTCGGTGTTGTACACAGGTGTTGTTTAAGTTGTCGTTCCTACATGCGTATGTGTGTTCATTGAGGCGGGTGTCGAGGTTTCTTGCTGTTTCACCTACGTAGATCTTGTCACAGCCTCCACAGGGTATAGTGTAAACTCCTGCATTGACTGGTTCGTGGTGCTTGGGTTTTGTCCTGGTTAGATCCTTTATTGAAGTGGTAGAAGCGATGGCGACTCTGGTGTTAGCTTGTGAAAGTACTTTTGAGACGTTTAGTGCAACCTGGCTGTTGGGAAGAATTATAACTTTGTTGGGAGCGGTGTTGATGCGTGGAGAATTGATGATCTGAAGAGCTCTTTTCTTGCAGTCTTTGATGAAAAAAGAAGGAAATTGTAACTCGGTGAATGTAAGTACATTCCTCGTCAAGAAACTCAGGACTACAAATTCGGTATGCTCTTAGGAAAAACCCGATGATGATGCCTCTTTTGGTCTTGGTATCTTGACTGGAATAGAAGTGTGTGAGATCATTTTTTATTGGTGGGTTTCCGATAAACTTGAAATCTTAGGTTGTTGTCTACTTTGTGAATGAGGACGTCGAGGAAAGGTAGCTTGTCATTGGACTCTTCTTCTAGTGTAAACTGAATCGCTGGTTCAACTGCGTTGAGCCTTGCCTGAAGATCCCGTACATCAAAACGTTTTGGAGTTATTACGAGGACATCGTCCACGTAACGTAACCAAGTGACGCTTGAAGGGATGATGTTGGCGAAGTGTTCGGACTCTAGGTGTTCCATGTATAAGTTGGCTAGGACGGCACTTATTGGGGACCCCATTCCCATGCCGTAGGTTTGTTTGTAGAGCTTGTTATTGAAGGAAAAACAGTTGAAGTTAACACAGAGTTCAATCAAGTCAACAAAATCTCCGGGAGGTAAAGGAAGATTAAAGGTCCTGGTTGACTTTACGTCGTAGAACCTCGATGGCTTTTTTGGTAGGTACTTTTGTGAAGAGGGAAGTCACATCCAAACTGCTTAGTAACCTCTCCATCCGTAACGAGAAACTAAGCAGTTTGGATGTGACTTCCCTCTTCACAAAAGTACCTACCAAAAAAGCCATCGAGGTTCTACGACGTAAAGTCAACCAGGACCTTAATCTTCCTTTACCTCCCGGAGATTTTGTTGACTTGATTGAACTCTGTGTTAACTTCAACTGTTTTTCCTTCAATAACAAGCTCTACAAACAAACCTACGGCATGGGAATGGGGTCCCCAATAAGTGCCGTCCTAGCCAACTTATACATGGAACACCTAGAGTCCGAACACTTCGCCAACATCATCCCTTCAAGCGTCACTTGGTTACGTTACGTGGACGATGTCCTCGTAATAACTCCAAAACGTTTTGATGTACGGGATCTTCAGGCAAGGCTCAACGCAGTTGAACCAGCGATTCAGTTTACACTAGAAGAAGAGTCCAATGACAAGCTACCTTTCCTCGACGTCCTCATTCACAAAGTAGACAACAACCTAAGATTTCAAGTTTATCGGAAACCCACCAATAAAAAATGATCTCACACACTTCTATTCCAGTCAAGATACCAAGACCAAAAGAGGCATCATCATCGGGTTTTTCCTAAGAGCATACCGAATTTGTAGTCCTGAGTTTCTTGACGAGGAATGTACTTACATTCACCAAACATTCACTGAGTTACAATTTCCTTCTTTTTTCACCAAAGACTGCAAGAAAAGAGCTCTTCAGATCATCAATTCTCCCCGCATCAACACCGCTCCCCAAAAAAGTTATAATTCTTCCCAACAGCCAGGTTGCACTAAACGTCTCAAAAGTACTTTAACAAGCTAACACCAGAGTCGCCATCGCTTCTACCACTTCAATAAAGGATCTAACCAGGACAAAACCCAAGCACCACGAACCAGTCAATGCAGGAGTTTACACTATACCCTGTGGAGGCTGTGACAAGATCTACGTAGGTGAAACAGCAAGAAACCTCGACACCCGCCTCAATGAACACATATACGCATGTAGGAACGACAACTTAAACAATGCCTGTGTACAACACCGAAATTCCACCAATCATCTCATGAAATTCAGAGACGCCCAATTAGTGATAAAAGAAACTAATTTCCGCACACGCAAGTGCCTTGAATCAGCACTGTTCGCTGTTTCGAATACAATTAAACAAAACAACGGCAGCTTCACCATCTCCGAAGTCTTAGCAAGAATCCTCCTGAAAACAGTAAACCCTGCCATCACATAGTCTCTCCTGTTATACTACACAAAGCACAGAGAGTGAACACTGAAACAAGCTGCCTCATTCCAGTCTATATTTGTCCAACCTATTTTTATGTTACCCAAGTAATAGCTTTTATATCCTTTTACTCGAATTAATTGCTCTACCATATTGTACTACTACTACTACTACTACTACTACTACTACTACTACTACTACTACTACTACTACTACTACTACTACTACTACTACTACTACTACTACTACTACTACTACTACTACTACTACTACTACTACTACTACTACTACTACTACTACTACTACTACTACTACTACTACTACTACTACTACTACTACTACTACTACTACTACTATACTACTACTACTACTACTATACTACTATATCTACTACTACTACTACTACTACTACTACTTACTACTACTACTACTACTACTACTACTACTACTAACTACTATACTACTACTAACTACTAACTACTACTTACTACTACTACTACTACTACTACTACTACTACTAACTAACTACTACTACTACTACTACTATACTACTACTACTACTACTACTACTACTACTACTACTACTACTACTACTACTACTACATACTACTACTACTACTACTACTACTACTACTATACTACTTACTACTACTACTACTACTACTACTACTACTAACTACTACTACTACTACTACTACTACTACTACTACTACTACTACTACTACTACTAACTAACTACTACTACTATACTGAACACTCGAAAAATTGTACCTCACTCTGAGCCTTTATATACCCTCTGTGTCCATGTATTGTTTGTAATGGCTTGATAAAGCTCCTGGAGAGCGAAACGTTGCCACAATAAATGTCACATTAGTTGCACTTGTGTCCTTTTACTTTACATATTGTCGGTAATTCTACCAACTTTATTACGAGATGATGTTTGGATGCAGTGGAGATGTCCTGTCTAAGTGCAATGTGTGGTGTAAATATTATGCAGAAAATTAGGAGTGAAAATTAGGTGTGGAGTTAATAAAAGCATTAGTCAGAGGACTGAAGAGAGGTTGTTGAGGTGGTTTGGTCATTTAGAGAGAGAGTGGATCAAAGTAGAATGACATGGAGAGCATATAAATCTGTAGGGAAAGGAAGGCGGGGTAGGGGGTAAAGGAGGTTTTGTGGGCACGGGGCTTGGACTTCCAGCAAGCGTGCACGAGCATGTTAGATAGGAGTGAATGGAGACGAATGGTATTGGGGACCTGATGAGCTGTTGGAGTGTGAGCAGGGTAATATTTAGTGAAGGGATTCAGGGAAACCGGTTATTTTAATATAGCCGGACTTGAGTCCTGGAAATGGGAAGTACAATGCCTGCACTCTAAAGGAAGGGTTTGGGATATTGGCAGTTTGGAGGGATATGTATCTTTATATGTATATGCTTCTAAACTGTTGTATTGAGCACCTCGGCAAAAAGTGATTGTGTGAGTGAGGTGAAAGTGTTAAATGATGAAAAAGTATTTTCTTTTTGGGTCACCCTGCTTCAGTGAGAGACGGCAGACTGTTAAAAAAAAATTTTTTTTAATGCATTATAAATGTCTAAATTGCACATGAATATTCTGTAGGATGACTGGGATAACTGGACCAAGATGACTGCTGGAACTGATATCCAGATTGTTGGTGATGATTTGACTGTGACCAACCCCAAGCGTATTACCACAGCTGTTGAGAAGAAGGCTTGCAACTGCCTGCTCTTGAAGGTCAACCAAATAGGTACAGTCACTGAATCCATCAATGCCCACCTTTTGGCTAAAGAAAATGGCTGGGGCACTATGGTCTCTCACAGGTAAGTTTATATTAGTTGGAAGCCTTTAACAAGTTTTTTTGGTTTTTAATTACCAAGACTTACAAATAGTCAGTTCTCGATACCTTACCTAGAGGCTTGCATGAAAATAGCTGTAAATATTTTTTCATAAAGTATGAAATCCATAAGGATCATACCATGTCTGGGGAATGGGAGACTGACGGGTTTGATCTGAGGAAGCGGAGGATATTTTAATTCCTTAGATTAAGAGCCTTTCACCAGCACAGACATTCATCTTAAAGGTTATAAATTAGAATGTGTAAGAAATAAGTGAATACTGTAATATATGGCAGCCATGACGGAGTTGACACAAGTTATAATAGGTGTTCATAATTACAGGATGTAATGGTATTTCTTCTAATTTATACACTTTAAAAATGTATTTTCTTAGAAGGAAGAATAATTTATGGATCAACATACATTGGGAAAATTCATGTTAATTAAGAACTTATTTTTGCACACAAGAATTAGTACACTCTATTCTGTATCACTTACTGTTAAATCTTGTGTTTTGTAGCCTATGTGATTTGTGGTTGTTCCTATTTGCAGTTGTGGGAACACACATCTGTTCAGTGTTTAGTTTGTCATGTAGTTTTTTAAAGTTGTGGTTTTGGCACTTTACTTTCCCTTGGATACCATGTTTGCTGTTCATCACTGAAACTACACATGTTTGACATTTTTTCCTGGTTTACAACATGGCACCTTGTCTTCTTTGTATGTTTAACTATTTGTCTGGATAGTTTAGGTCTTTGCAATTCTTTCTAGACCTAAGGTTCTCATTGTTCCTGTTGCTTGTTTTTCTTAATGTTCATTGCCATTTACTTCCTGCCGTAATTCAATATGAAGGATTATGTAGTGCTTTGTTATTCTTTTATTTAGCCACTCCCATAAGTCTGGTTCAGTGGTAGAGCATTTGGCTCACAACCAAAAGTTCATAATTATTCCTGGGCAAACTTATGGGTAAGTCTCACCACCTTTGCACCTGTTCACCTAACAGAAAATGGTTTCCTGGGAGATAGATTATAGGATGCATTCTAGGGAGGGAAGGGTGGTATTTATCTGATGTTATCTAATAATTTCAAGGGTTGCTACTTCTGTGGCTGTCCTATACCAAGCCTCCAATATATGCACTACATCCCAGCTGCTCTACTTTAAATGGCACTATTTGTAGTGCTAAATATAAAAAAGTGTAAATTAATGGGCATGTAATCTCCTGGCCTAGCTCCTGTCCTTAATGTCAAATTAGCAGGCTCAGTTTAAGTAGCAAAAAACTGAGGGATCACTCCAAGGGGTCTTGGGAACTACACGTGTTAATACAAATACCACATTGACAAAGTGTGATTATTCGAGGGTTTTCCTGCTACAGAGACTAGACAGACTCCTTGGAAGTTGGCAGGCCCTACAGATGAGCAAGTTATAAAAAGCTCAACAGGATTAGAGTATTTGGCACTCATTCAGCAGGAATAGTCAAGAGAGGATTCTGTGGGAGAACCAAGTGTGCACACAGCCTGTAACCACTTGCAATTACTCCTGCCCCTCTATTTTTTTTTATGTAGCTGACTGTGGGGCACGTTGAACTATTTGCCTACTGCTTTGGTTTTGTCGTGATTTTGTATACTGAAGAACCTAGTCCATGACCAGACCTGGTGGATCAGGCCTGGTCATCCAGGGTTTTGCTGTTGGCCACATGCAATCCATTGTACAAACCACAGCGTGGCTCATTAAGAACTGACTTGAGGAACCTATCCAGTATCCTCTTGAAAGCTAAGGGCCTCTTGGTAATACCCCTTATGTAAGATGGGAGGCTGTTGAATAATCTTGGGTCCCTTACACTTATTGATTTCTCTGCATTAGGACAAAAGCTAGGGGAGACATAATGAACAAAATATTCATGAAAAATTGATAGGGTAGACACGTATAGATTGAGAGTTGGAGAAATTTGTACACAATGGCACGTTTCCAAGCTAAAGATGGAAAAAAGTCATGGGGATGTTGGAAAGTATTTCATTTGGGTGGTCAAGGAGTGGTGAAGGCAGGCTTCATATATGGATTTAAGAGTAGATAGTTGCCTCTTATAAAGCTGTTCTGTAGTGTGACTGCAAATGCAATGAAAGCTTTGAAGGTCTTTTCATTTGCTATTCAGTTGTAGATGCACTTTCTCAATCACATTCACAAAAATCGCCCTATATGGAGGAGCTTTATAAGAGCTGACTATATAACGGAGCCTATGTGACCGAGGGAGTGAATCTGAAATGCAGCAGGTTAAGAGGCAGGGCCAGGAGGTTGGATTCAACTCCTGCAGCTACATGTAGGCAAGTTGCCTGGTAGGATGTGGGTGTTTGACCCTATCCTTCAAGAATAAGTCACTATGAGATTTCTCTGTAGGTGGTCTGGTGTACACCTTGTTTATAATCACCTGTTGCAGATGCTCCTTCATGCCCTCTTTTATTACTGCCATTCCAGTCACTCTGGAATATATTTTAATATTTTTATGGCTTTGGATTTCCTGCCTTTATTGTAATATAATTAGGAACATCTGGGAACCTAGACTTTTAACACTTAACAGTTTAGTGTTCAGTTGATGCTGGTTATTTTAAGTTGGTGGTTTTTGTGTGCTTTGTTTTAACGTGCTCTTAAGAGCAGACTGATCAAGCCAGGTCAGCTGCTCTTCAGATTTCAACTTCTTTCAACCTCCTTAATTTTATTCATGTGGTGCACAAGGTGTTTGTAATACTTTGTGCCTAATTGCCATTGACATGCCTCTGTTCATCTTTTTCAGGCTTTGGCATTTTTTTTATGTAGACAATTTTGCCATCATCGATGCTGGCATAAGAAATTTAGAGTTGTGTTAATAGCAACACATGTAATTACCTGCTGTAGTTACCACAAGATGTTTTTCTTGTAGATGTAATGCAAGGAAAAACAGGAACAGTTTATTGGTGGACTTTATTTACTGTGCTAATTACCAAAAACTAGTTTCAGAGCTAAACATCAATTTAATTTTTTTCTGTAACTTGCCTATTTAGTAAAATGATAAGCAAAATTAAATATAATCTTGCATGTGTTCATCCCAACAGATCTGGGGAGACAGAAGATTGCTTCATTGCTGACCTAGTTGTGGGTCTGTGTACTGGACAGATCAAGACTGGTGCTCCCTGCCGCTCTGAGCGTCTGGCAAAATACAACCAAATCCTTCGTATTGAGGAAGAGCTTGGGGCCAATGCCAAGTTTGCTGGCAAGAACTTCAGGAAACCCTGTTAAGATATTTAAATTCTCAAACCTTAAAATCCTGTAAGAATGTTGTTGCATTAACTTGGGGAAATAGTATAATGCCTCTAACATGGCCTTTAAGACTTGAAAGTTTTAATGGTCTTTGTGAAGTGGTTGTGCTTGTATGATGTGAAAAATTAAACTCTGAATTGAAAGGTTGTTTCAGTTTTTTATGTATAGTTTATGGATAGTGGTAAGATGTTTCAAAAACTAGGAAGTAAAGTGTTGCGTCTACAGCCAGGGAGTTCTGTATATTCCAGATGTTTTAGCAGTTGTGTTTTGACTTAGATTGCAATACATTGTATGGAGAAATTACTCTGCTAATAGAAATTTCAATTTATTGGCTAGTCATGTCTCTTGTCATAGATCTTCACAATGTGGTATAATTGTCCTATTCATATATACCTGCAAAGTATTTGCATGAGTGATATGTATATAAGGAACATAAAAACATGGAAATATATGTAGCCTGTTACTTATCCAAGATGTATTATAAAAGCAAAGTTTCTTTCCAAGAAAGATCTTTGTTTTTGTTTCTCAAACTCCTCTTCAAGGGGGGCTCTTCGTTGTGGTGAAGAGGCTCTTGGTCTGAGGAATTAGACCTGTCGGTCTCCTTCCTCAGACCGAACCTAATTACCCCCCAATCCCCCCCCCTCCCTATCCCATCCTCCCCTTTTTTCTTTCCTCCTCCCCACCCCTCCCTTTTGCCCTTCCTCTTTTTGGCCTTTGGGATTTCTCCCACAGGCACGCTAGTTCCTAGGTAGGGGAATGGATTCCGGGGTCCTTCCCATTCCGTTGAGGTTCTTGGCGGTGGCGTAGTTTGCAGTGGAATCTGGATCGCCTGGGGATGTCCCGATCCCTCTCCGGTATCCCGGAGTGTAGCTTTGGGTGTCTTTCGGGCGACGGGTGTATCTCTGAAAGCCACCTTTCAGATTCCGGGGGTGGTGGCTGAAGGAGGTATGCTTTGTGGCGGATATCCGGCCGCCCTCTTTTGTCCACCGAGGTAGCTCGGCAGATGTGAGATTGCTATCCTGGATTGCTGGTTTACAGGGTAGGGTATGGCAAGGGTTCCATGCTGCATCTGCGCTACTAACTGTGCTGAGGTCCTCTTGGGCGCGGAGGGAGATTTCCGGCCCTTTCATTCCTCCTGGGAACTATTCCTCCCCGCTCCCCCCTTTTTTTTTATTCTTTTTTTTTTTTCTTTTTTCTTAAAAACAAAAAGCAAAGGAGTAACCTAACCATGGAGAACCCAATTCATGAACCCACTACCCCTGGGCCCCTTGATACCGCACCCCATTCTGACCCTGCCTTGTTTTTAGACCACTCTTCGGACACTCCTGATGCCCCTGTACCTCTTGCTGGTGCTGTTTCCTCACCTGCTTCAGGTACCGGGGCTTCGACTGACTCCTTCGATTTGTCTGACCTCCGCTCTCCTTTGACTATGCTTCCGGCCTCTCCCTCTACAGTACGGCAATTTTCAAATCGCCAGCCCGTTTCACGACGGACCAACTCCGGTCCTACTCCTAAACGCCAACGTCAATCTCCTGATGTTCCTTCGTTACCTTCCCATTCTACTCGGAAAAGACCGACACGTCGTGCACTCCCTCTCCACGCTCGGTTTCGGACCACACAATGGACTAAATTCTTTACTTTAAGACAGACTTCTGCCTATCTTTCTGACCATAGTATTGGCAAAGCGCTCCTGCGTCATGTTGGTAGAGATTTCATTTCATGCTCTCGAGCGGTAGTGCCATCGTCACTGTCCAGAATGCTACCCAAGCTCATGATCTTTCTTTCCTTTCACATATCGATACTACTCCTATCACTATTGAAAAACATCTCTCTCAATTCTTGTAGTGGTACTGTCATTCTGCCCTATACCATAGTCCAACAGAATTTCCAGTCATGTGGCAATGACATCCTTGAACAGCTGGAACTCCAGGATCTCCCAATCCTGAAAGTCGATACTTATGTCCTTCCTGCCCGTGGGTGGAGACGTTACCCTTGCAATGTGGCTCGATTAACTTTGGACAGCCGAGAACTCCCGTCCTCTGTTTGTCGCGGGACATAGGTTACAAGTCTGAAAGGTGATCCCTACACCGCAACAGTGTAGAAATTGCTGGCGTTTTGGTCACCCAGCGAAATATTGCAGATCTATAGCCGAATGCCCAGTCTGTGGTGCCAACGACCATTCTAATACTTCTTGCAGTCAACCTTCATCTTGCCTTAATTGTAATGAAGCTCACCCTTCGTACTTCCACCGTTGCCAGGTCTACTTAAATGAGCATGAAATCCGTTGTCTCAAAGAGGCAGAAGGTCTCCCTTGTGCTATGGCAGTTACTCATCTCCGCCTCCAAGGAAGACTACCCTGTGTTTCTTATTTTTGTGTTTCAAAACATGCCCCCACTTCTGGGGTCCCATCTTCCGCAGCCTCCTCTGTTATTACCCCTCCCATAGCCACTCCGGCATCTAATCCTTTTGCTGTCCTTGGCTCTGACGTCCCGACTACAACTCAAGTCTGTTCTCACATCTTCGCGTCCTTCCTCACAAGCCCCAGTATCGACAAGACCTCGTACGACACCTAATACCAATCGCCCCCTCTACTTCTCAGTCCAAAAAATCCACATTGCTCAAATCTTCTTTGCCACTTCCTTCCCTTCTTCCACCTCCACACTTTACCTTTCCAGTCTGTGCCTGTTCTTCCCCTCTCTCTGGCTCTATTACAAGTGTGGAGGTTCACCCTCCTCCTTGTACTATGCCTTCCACCCCTGTCCCCTCCCAAGCTTTTCCCTCTTCTGCCACCTCCCAGGTTTCTGCCTCTTCTGTCCCCCCCCCCCCCACACTTCATCTCCAGTCCCCTACACTTTTTTGTCCCCCTCTACTTTGGTACCGTCCATTACTGTCCCAATCTTTACTCACCCTCCTCCTCCTACCTCCAATATGGTCTCCCATACATCTTTGAATTCAGAAACACTTGAAGCCATTTCAGAATATACTGCAGAGACTAAACCTTCAATGGACACTGATTCACCTCCTGTTCCTTCTCTTCTCTCTCCTCAACTCCATTCTTTGCAATGCTCCGTTACTTCACTGCTTGAACGTCTTCCAATGCCACCACACGTTGACTTTTCTAACCCCTCTAGTCCGTAGGTGCCCTTCCCTACGGATTCCTGCTATTTTCTTCATTGCCAATCATGGCCTATTTACAGTGGAATATCCGCGGCCTCGGGTAATCGGGGTGAGCTTCAGATGTTGCTTTCCAGGTTTTCCCCTGTTGGTGCTTGCTTACAAGAATCAAAATTACACTCAGCTGTTTTCCAACCTATCTCAGGCTATAATTTATTGTATTCTTCGGATCCTTTCTCAGATGGAACCTTTAATGAAAGTGCCCTTCTACGCAATGATATTCCGTACTGTCAACTATTTGTCCACACCTCGCTGCAGCCCATATCCACTTGCATAAGTGGTTTACAATATGTTCTTTATATCTCTCTCCTTCTCGAGCATTTTCTATCCCAGATTTTGCCTTTCTAGTTTCATCCTTACCACCACCACTTCTGTTACTTGGTGATTTTAACGCCCACCATTTCCTCGGGGGGGGGGGGGGGGTCTCATTGTGACTCGCGTGGCATCCAGTTGGAGGCTTTTCTCGCCTCTCACCCCCTCCATGTTTTAAATACGGGTACTCCCACCCATTTTGATCCTCGTACTCATACTCTATCTTGCATCGATCTGTCGGTCTGCTCTTCCTCCACTGCCCTAGACTTCACCTGGTCTGTTCTACCGGACTTACATGACAGCGATTATTTTCCAATCATTCTTACTTCTCCTTCATTTTCACCACCTTTCCGTAGCCCTCACTGGTAATCTGATCGGGCAAATTGAGACCTTTACTCGCCACTCACTGCTTTTAGTGAGGTTCCTTCATCCTCCATTGATGAGCTCCTACACCTCTTCTCGACGTCGGTTTATACCGCAGCTTCTCATTCTATACCCCAAACCTCGGGCAGGCATTCTCAGAAGTGCGTGCCTTGGTCTCCTGCTTGTGCTCGTGCAGTACGTTTGAAACGCGCTGCATGGGGCAGGTACCGACACAATAGAACCAATGAGAGACTTATTGATTTTAAGCAGAAGCGTGCAATCGCTTGCCATGTCATTCGTGATGCTAAACGCACTTGCTGGCGAGACTGTTTCCACCATCACCTCTGCTTCCTCTATGAGTGCAGTCTGGAAAAAAAGTGAGGAAACTGAGTGGTAAATACTCTCCTGACCCGGCTCCTGTTCTACGGGTCGCCGGTATTGATGTAGCAAACCCTCTTGACGTTGAAGTTGAAATTGACACTCGTCTGGTCCGTATTTCCCGGGAGCTCTATCTATGCCCCTCGTTTCTTTCCTCAAAGTCTGCCAGAGAGTTAGTACCCTTGGACTTTTCTTCTCTCAGAGAAGAACAGTATAATGTGCCTTTTACACTTCAGGAACTGGAGGCAACACACTCAACTTGCCGATCATCGGCAGCTGGGCCTGACGACATTCATATTCGTATGTTACATTTACATCAGTCAGCCCTTGTAGTCCTCTTACACCTCTTCAATCTTACTTGGGCACAAGGAGTTCTTCCCCAGCTGTGGAAATCTGCCATTATGCTCCCTTTCCGCAAGCTGGGTACTACAGGACATGGTGCCTCCCACTATCGTCCCATCGCTCTTACTAGTGCAGTTTGCAAAGTGATGGAACGCCTGGTAAATCGACGTTTAATGTGGTATTTACATGCACAACAGTCTCTCCGCTAGTCAATATGGCTTTCGTAAGGGCCGTTCTACCATAGACCCCTTACTACGCTTAGATACGTATGTTCGTAATGCCTTTGCGAATAATCACTCGGTTATTGCCATATTTTTTGAACTTGAGAAGGCATATGAGACAACCTGGAGGTATAATATTTTGGCCCAAGCCCACTCCTTAGGCCTCCGAGGCAATCTACCATCCTTCCTTAAGAACTTTTTAACTGACAGACACTTCCGTGTTCGAGTCAATAATCTGCTTTCCCCGGACTTCGTCCAAGCTGAAGGTGTCCCTCATAGATGTGTTCTGAGCACAACACTTTTTCTCCTTGCTATAAATGATTTGGCCTCTGTTCTTCCACCCAATATTTGGTCATCACTCTGTTGATGACTTCGCTATTGCTTGTGCAGGCGCTGACTGTCATCTCATTGCAGTTTCCCTCCAGCATGCAGTCGACAGTGTTTCCACTTGGGCCACCACGCATGGGTTTAAATTTTCCAGTACAAAAACTCGCCAAATTACTTTCACTAGACGCTCTGTCATCTCCGATCATCCTTTGTATCTCTATGGCTCCCGTATCCCCGAATGTGATAGTCAGGTTTCTAGGCCTTCTCTTTGACTGTAGGTTATCCTTGAAACCTCACATTACCTCTCTGAAGGCAACTTGTCACAGCCGGCTAA